GCCTGCCTCTTCTTCCACACCAGCTGCCTGGCCCTGTGGGGATGATAATCTGAATTCATTCCTAAATAATTAGCATATTCCCACCTTGTCATATTATCCACCTCCCAGTGATTCTGAACTCTCAGCTATCACTGTATGAACCTCACTCCCCATCCCTTACTATCAACTCCCTTGTTCCCATTCCGCTCTAGCCATCTCCCCTCTCCCCAGTGTCCCACTTCAGGTCTACTCAGCTGTTCCAATGTGCTTTATGGAATGCCTGCCCCACAGGTAACAAACTAGCTTTCATCTTAAACTTTTTCCTTGCTGACTCCTTTGATTTTGTACTCACTGAGACCTGGTTTCCTCCTAATGATAGTTTTCCTGGCAACCCTTTCCAGTGCTGGTTGCACTTCCACTCATATACCACCACCACCACCACTCACTCCAATTTCCCCACTTAAGGTAGGGGAATTGAAATATTCTTTTTTTATAATTAGTTTATCTATTTTTAGTTTTCAACATTCACTTCCATAAGATTTGGAGTTTTAAATTTTCTCTCCCTCCCACTTTCCTCCCCCCCCACCAAGATGGCATGCAATCTGATATAGGCTCTACTTATACATTCATATTAAGCATATTTTCCCATTAGTCATGATGTAAAGAACAATTAGAACTAATGGGAGGAACCAGGAAAATGAAGCAATAAAACAAAACAACAAAGGAAAAGGACAGCAAATAGTATGCTTCCACATGCATTCAGACTCTATAGTTCTTTCTCTGGATGTGGACAGCAATTTCCATCATGGGTCTTTTGGAGTTGTCTTAGATTCTTGCATTGCTGTGAAGAGTTAAGTCTATCAAAGTCAGTCATTGCACAATGTAGCTGTTACTGTGTACAATGTTCTCCTGGTTCTGCTCATTTCACTCTGCATCAGTACATATAAGTCTTTCCAGGTGTTTTTGAAGGCTGACTGCTCATCATTTCTCATAGCACAATAGTATTCCATTACATTCATATACCACAACTTGTTCAGCCATTCCCCAATTGATGGGCATCCCCTCAATTTCCAGTTCTTTGCCACCACAAAAAGAGCTGCTACAAATATTTTTGTACATTTCTATGATCTCTTTGGGATACACAACTAGAAGTTGTATTGTTGGATCAGAGGGTATCTACAGTTTTATAGCCCTTTGGGCATAGTTCCAAATTGGTCTCCAGCATGGTTAGATCAGTTCACAACTCAACCAATAATGCATTAGTGTTCCAATTTTCCCACATCTTATCCCACATCTATTATTTTCCCATTTTGCCATGTTAGCCAATCCGCTAGATGTGATGTGGTACCTCAGAGTCCTTTTGATTTGCATTTCTCTGATCAATAGTGATTTAGAATATTTTTTCATATGACTATAGATAGCTTTAGTTTCTTCCTCTGAAAACTGCCTGTTCATATCCTTTGACCATTTATCAATTGGGAAATGACTGGTATTCTTATTTGACTCAGTTCTCTATATATTTTAGAAATGAGACCTTTATCAGAGACACTGGTTGTAAAAATTCTTTCCCAGTTTTCTGCTTCCTTCCTAATCCTGGTTGCATTGGCTTTGTTTGTGCAAAAACTTTTCAATTTAATGTAATCAAAATTACCCATTTTGCATTTCATAATGTTCTCTAGCTCTTGTTTGGTCATAAATTCTTCCCTTCTCCATAGAGCTGAAAGGTAAACTATTCATTGCTCTTCTAGTTTGCTTAGAGTATCAGTCTTTATATCTAAATCCTGTACCCATTTTGACTTTATCTTGGCACAGAGTGTAAGACATTGGTCTATGCCCAGTTTCTGCCATGTATTTTTCCAGTTGTCCCAGTAGTTTTTGTTAAATAGTGATTTCTTATCCCAGAAGTAGGAGTCTTTGGATTTATCAAATAGTAGATTAGCATCGTCATTGAGTATTGGGTCTTGCATACCTCACCTATTCCACTGATTCACCACTCTATTTCTTAGCCAGTACCAAGTAGTTCTGATGATTGCTGCTTTATAATACAATTTAAGATCTGGTGCAGCTGAAATATTCTTTGATCCCCATTGCCACTTCCAGCCTTTCTCTATACCACTATCACTCAGTAATCCCTTTTAGCTGAGTTTAACAGGGTTTCATCTATTGCCCCATAAGCAGCCTACTATGAGGTCAGTTCACTGCAATAGTTGACCACAAAATCAATTCTTGTCCCCTGTCTACTTGTTTCTTGTTCATATACTTGTTAATTCTGATCCTGGGCTCTAAGACAATTAAAAGGCATTTTCTGTTGTTGGCTTGTCGGGTTTTTTTTTCACAAATTAATAGGAACCTCTCTCACCAAATAGCTATAAGCTTTCATCCTAGTTTACTATCTAAAGGGGGGGGGGAACCTTTTCTATACTCATCTCCCTCAATATCAACATGCCCCACTCTACCCGACCCAGTCTCATAGGCTTAAGTAAACATTAGTGTTTCTGGTTCTACAATTAATTAACAGTGTAACAAACAAAACGGACATATTTAAATATTTCAAATATGTATCACAGTGAGAAAGATCACATCTATGACAACTGCTAATTTTCCTTCAACTCTGGAAAAGCAGTCCTATCATTCAGCTCTCTCAAGATGGCAGTCAAAAGCTCTCAAGAATTCTCTTTAGGATACCTTCTTCACAGCATGAGTTCAACTCAGTCTTCTCAGGAAATGTCTCTTCAATCTTTCTCAAAGATAAGTTTACTCCATCAATCTATACTTCTCTTTGTACTTTACATAATCACACAAGCCATGACAGTTAATGGTCTCCAGATAACGGTTAAATTGTAACTTTCTTCAAGGTTCCACTACCTTTTAAAGATAGTCTCTTTAGGAAGAATTTTTGATACTGATGTTACATTTCTCCTTATGGGAAAAAATATTTTTCAGTTTCTAAAAAATCATTAGCATAACATCAAATATATTTTGATATTATATATAATAAACATATTACAATGCAAAGCTCTACTTGACAAGGTACGTGTTCAAAATATAGGATGTCCAAATGTCAGCGTAGTTTTAAGCTTTATATAACTTCAGAAGTATAAATGCTACAAACTTACAAAAAATATCTTGAAGATTAGTTACTTAAAATTTTAAAATACTGACATTCCTCATTAAAATTCAACATAGCCACCATCTTGTGCTATACACCACTCTAATCAGCTGCTGTTCGGTGACTGAAAGAATCGCATTTGTAATCCTAGCCTAATGATCATCCAAAGAAAGAGGTTTTGATACATAGATGACAGTTTTGACATGACCCCACTAAAAAAAGAGTCTAATGGAAACAGATCAGATGACAGAGGTGGCCAAGCAAGAGGGCATCCTCTGCTAATGCGCAGTCTGAGAAAGCGTCATCCAGAAACTCTCACACACACAATGCATAATGACAGAGGTACTCCATCTTATTAAAATTAAAAGCTTATTAGTTTTTAAAATTACAAAACTAAATAACAATAACAGAAAAAATAAACTTTCAAATGATGTTTTGCTAAGTTTGTAGCATTTACACTCCTGAAATTATTAAATTTTTTAAATGCATGAAGACTTTGGGGATACAGAACAAAAATATATATATTATAATATAAGCTGGAAGAAAAAAATGTAACAATACTATAATGTCAGTATTTATAGTGATACATGCATAATATTGTATCTACAGTCAAAATCTTAAGAAAACAGAATAAATTTGCAATAATCCACCATATATATGTATATATATGTAGGTGTGTGTATAAACATATACATACATACATATATATCATGCCATTCATACAAAATGCCTTACAATATAGATTGCTCTAATGGGGTTGTTGCAACCCACTGTTTAAAAAGCCCTAAAGTGGTTGCAAGTAGAAAAAGTTTAAGAAGCCCTGCGTCTAGATCAGGAGTCAGCAGACTACTGCTCACTCTGAATCCCATAAGGCAGTGAGCAAAAGTGTTTAAAAATGTAAAAACCATTCTCAGCTTTCAGGTCAAGCTTGCCTACACCTCTTGAGATCCTAAGAAAAAGATAATATAGTGCAATATATTCTAATTGCTCTGTGTGTGATTTTTCTCTCTAACAAGATAAGCATCTAAGGTCAGGAACCATTGTCATCTACTTCTGCATGCCTTATGACATATCCATACTCTGGGACAGATAGAGAAATCGAGGTTCCAAAGTTGGAGGAGCCCTTTTGTATCATAGGATTAGAGATTAAGATCTAGAAAAGATACCAAAGATCACCTAGTCCAGGGGTGAGGAACCTGTGGCCATGAGGCCACATGTGGCCCTCTAGGTCCTCAAGTACAGCCCTTTGACTGAATCCAAGTTTAAAGTGGCCTTGAGGCCATAGGCTCCCCACCCCTGACCTAGTCCATGTCCCTTATTTACAGGTAAGGGAACTGAGCCTCAAGAAAAGTAAATGCTAAGGCAGCTAGGTGGCTCAGTGGATAGAGCACTGGTCCTGGAGTCAGGAGGACCTGAGTTCAAATGCGGCCTCAGACCAAACACTTGACAAGTTCTAGCTGTGTGACCCTGGAAGAGTCACTTTACCCCAATTGCCTAAAAAGAAAAAAAGAAAAAAAAAAGAAAGGTAAGTGACTTGCTCGAAATCATACAGGTCATAAACAGCAAATTTGGAATTTGAACACAGATCCTTCAATCCCCTCTTTTTATAGGTAAAGGAGACTTGCCCAAGATCACACAGGTGGTAACCAGGTCCTCTGACTTCAAAGTTGCCTCTCTTTCTACTAGAACACACTGCTTCAAAAGGTTCAGTTAAGGATTGGTTAAAAAGTCATGGGAAGGTAGTATAGGAAAGCTTTCCTGAGCAGTGGTTCACACACATAATCTCAGGGTATACCTAGTGGCCAGGGACACAAATGAGTTTATCAAATAGTTGACTTTTAAACAGTTGCTTTCAATACTCCTGCATCAACTATAGCATAAAGGGAGCTACTAAGCACTTAGGTTCCCATACCTGGTTGTGGTAATTTTACTGGGTCACTAAGTCTCTGAGAAAGTAAACTTCCATCCAGGGCAGTTTAAATGAAGAAATTAAAATCTGGAAAGCCAATGCCCATGCCTTAGAATGTTAAGTCTGAAAAAGACATTGAAGATCACATATTTCAACCATCTCATTTTATAAATAGGAAAATTAAAGCCTAGAGAAAGGAAGTGACCTGTCCAAAGCCACAAGGCATATACAAGTGGATCCAGGACTAGAACCTGGGTCTCATGACTCCTATCTAGTCTGCTTTTCCCATTCCACCTTGTTCTTTCTTCCAGTGTCCCATAAGCCTCATCCACACTGGGGCAATCTCCCAAATCCCTTTATCTCAACTCACTTATCATACTGGCCCATGGTTATTATGACCTACGCCTTCACATGATCATCAGGACCTACACCTCCACTTTCCCCAAAACTACTGTATGGGAAAGAGAGTATCAGAAAGCAGCGAGCTGAGATTGGTCAGGAAGAAGGAAGGCAGCAAAAGACTGCATTGTAGACATCTGTAAGAGGCGGTTTCATTTCTTACACTGTCCCTGACCAGCAGGCCCAGTGCCAGCAAACCAAAGCCTTTGTCAACAGAGAGCCCTGGCTTTGTGTTTGTTGGATTGGAGAGACAGGGAAACACAGAGAGAGACAAACAGAGACAAAAACAGAGACAGACAAAAAACAGAGAAACAGAAAGAGAGAAGAGAACACACACATGCCTGAGCAAAGAGTAAGGCCTCTGGAAATTCTGACTCTCCTCCAGGGGAAAGAGGGTGAAAAGAATAGACTTCTAGACTCCAGAAGCTCCAGCAAATGTTCTGGTTTAAACAAACAAGAATAAATAAGATTGAGCAACAGCCAAGGGGCAAAATGAAATTACACTATAATTAAATAGAACTGCTTCCCAGATATTTGTGTGATGATAAATTTATGCACCCCAGTTGGTATGTTTTATGAAGTTGGTTTAAAAAACCTCAAGGAACACTAAGCTGCATCTCCACTTCAGTTACAAAGGACGCTAAATGAAAGACAAGCACTGAGGCATGAAGAAGATTGATAGAAGCCACACAGGGCTGTGCCTATTAGCAAAATAAATCCAAGTTGGGCTGGACTGAAAAGAAGAACTCTGGGGACTAGGGCATGGAAGGGAAAGCGACCAAGATCCCCACTTCATTTCTATTGGCCAGCTCAGGGCAGATAGCGAGGTTAATGCAAGGGATGTGGTTCATTTGTCCCCCAAAGATTTGCCACTTTATATATGGAAGTGTACTAGGCTATGCTCTAGGGTATTTACATGGGCATATGCCAGCATGCACTCAGAGGGGGTGCCCAACCAGGGTATCTGCTTAGGCACAGACCAGAGCATGTGGGAAGGCAGCATTGCCAGGGTATTTGCATAGGCACAAACCAGCATATGCATCAGAAAGGAACACTGCTGGGTAGGGAGCAGGGCTTTACCTACATTAATCATTCTCTGGTAGTTTTGCTTTGGTTTACGAACCTGTGGCAAAGGCAGAAAGACCAATAGGCCCCCTGGCTGGGCTGTTTTTTCTCCTCCCAGCTGCTTCTGTCTCTCTCGGGCTCCTGGACACAAAACAGCTGAGCAGAAAAACAACCAGCCACCTGCTCCCTCCTCGCCCATGATACCGCCCCAGTCCCCAAGTCCCACCCCTTCTTCAGCTTACTCTCTCCCTCTCTTCCTCTCTCAAGCCAAATTTCCCTGGAGCAGCAGCAGCAGCTGAAACTCTCTTCCCTCCTGCAATGTTCCCTAGCTCTTCCATGCTCCTCCCCCAATGGTCAATGAGTCCCCTCCAAACAAAATAGTTGTGCTTCTTTCCCCAAAGCGATCACTGGGGTCCCAAGGAAAGTGGACTTACGGCATCAACCTGCCCTATCTGAGGACACAGAGTGTGCAGCAGCTTGACCCAAGGGTTCATTCTCCAGGCATAGGAAGGCTGGAAGGGGTTAACATATAACAGTGCAGGAAACCAGCCGTAGCTCAGCAGGGTTCCTAGCTACAGAGCCAGTACCAGACACAGTAAAAGGAAAGGGAAGTAATCCCTGAAAGGAGAGAGTACATGGAGTCCTAGAATGGAGGTCAAAGAGTCCAAGAGGCTAGAGGCTAGTTTGAACAGCTTCAGGACCTGAGGTGCATCCTGGGAGTACTCGTTTATTCCCTCCCTCTCTCCCTTTCTCTCCACACCCTACTAATTAAGTTCTTTTTCAAAATATAGGTTGTCACAACAGACTTGAGGTTTGAGAGTTGGAAGCTCTCACTTGTTGCTATTTAATAGGTCCCTAGTGCCAGTCTATAGTAGGCCCCACAGACATAGCGAAAGCAGGGGCTCCCAAATTTTTTCAGGCCCTGTGCCCCATGGCTTTTAGTAAATTTTCCTATATTGCCTATTTAATATTAAAAAGAAAAAAATTCCATGGTTTACTACATATATGTACATAAGAACTAATATAAAAAGATTAATTTTAGTAGGATAAAATAAATATTTACCAAATATTCTCATACCCCTTGACAAGCTTCTCATGTGTCCAAGTACCCCAGGTTGGTAACCACTATTCTAAAATGCCTAGAACAGTGGCGTTCAAAGTTTTTTAATTGTACACCTATATCGGTAAAAAAGCTTTTGAGCATGCACACCCAACATGTATGTATTTATTTATTTTTAAGTTATGTGCGTATTAATACATTAATGATTACTTTATAAAACTTTTACAAAAATAGAAACTTTTAAAGGATGAGGTAAACTGAAATAATGCTTGATCCTAGGATCATTAGGGAGACACTGGAAATTTTTGAAGCAGTGGAGTGATGTGATCATTTCTATAATTTAGGAAAACCATTTTGGCAGCTGCGTGGAAGAAGGATTGGAAAAGAGAAACACTTGATTCAGGAAAGCCAATTACGAGGTTATTGCAATAATCCAGGTGATAGACCTGATGAGGACTTGAACTATGGTGGCAGCTGTGTGAGTAGAGGAAACAAATGTGAGTGATGTGGAGATAAGAGACAAATTACAGCAAATGATCAGGTGTGGACTGAGGAGACGGAGAAGAATGAGAAGTTGAAGATGACACCAAAGTTGTGAACTTGGATGACTGGGAGGATAGCGGTACCCTCCACAGTAATTTAGAAAATGTAATGAGATAAGGGATCTGTGAACTCATTCATGGCTGCTCATTTTGTAATGCGCTGTGTCCTACCCAAAATGAAAAGAGAAGAAAGCAAGGTTGTTACTCATAGGACACTATCCTAGCAAGAAAAACCTTCCTTCTAAGTAGCATCCACCAAAAGCCATAATGTGATCTGGGGGCCAAGGATGCAGTATGCTAGAGGGGTTGGAATTTTCCCAATGACACCTATTATGCATGCCTAGGTAGCAATTAGGTTTTAACAAAAAAAAAATCTAATAGCATCATTAGCTTCTTCATAGCGGGTTCTATATGTAATGTAAAACTTGGTACTCCAATTCTCTTAAGGATGTATATTACTATTTGTATAAAAATAGCAACATAGTATAATGCACAGGTTGGCAAACTCCATGGGCCAAATCTGGCCAGCTGCCTGTTTTTGTATGAACCATAAACTGAGAATGTTTTGTCTTTTCAAAAAAAAAAAATAGGTTGCAGGCCATGGAAGAGGAAGCAGCAGGTCAGGTTTGGCCTGTGGGCTATAGTTTGTCAGCCCCTAGACACTATAATGGAATGAACACTGTACTTGGTGGCACCAGAAGATCAGGGATTGAGTTCTAATTCCTTCAATTTACTTGGTTCAGTAACCATAGACAAGATAGTTAGCCTTTTTTGAATATCAGTTTCCCCATGTGTAAAATGGGCATAATGATATTGGCGTAATGAAGTGTGCATGCCCAGACCACCTAAGATGGCATCATCTATGCTGAAGTCCCTGGGGAGCTGCTTAGGAGCCTGGAGGGCTGCAGTATACATGCATGGACCTTGCATTTTTGCAGCTCCCTCCCTTGACACATAGCCAGAACTGTTGGTGTCTTTTAAATGGCTGGAGACAATCAGGGTCATATGACCAGTAATATAGGGTAAGAGGCATTTTCTCTGATCCTCACAACTGCTCAAAACTCTCCAAAGTGAGAATTATGCACAAGAAGTAAAGCAATTACAGCTTTCTAAACAGGCAGCTAGGTGGCACAGTGGCAAGAACTCCAGACCTGGAGTCAGGAAGATCAGAATTCAAATCCAGCCTGAGATACGCACTAGCTGTGTGATCCTGAGCAAGTGACTTAACCCTGTTTGCCACTTCAGTATATTTGCCAAGAATACCCCAAATGAGGCCACAAAGAGTCAGATATGACTGAAATGCCTGAATAACAACAACAGACAGGCTAAAATACCTAGAACCCAAGCAAGGTAATAAACTGATGAATTAACAGTAGAGTGGCAACCTTAATACCTAATGAGCTCACTCAGCACACCCATCCTCACCAGGTCCCACTTTCTGGCAGATCTGCATTTAGGACTCGCAGGTTTGTACTTTGGGATTTGCTCAACAATTGCCTTGCTGAAAGTAATTCTAGACAACAGAATAGCCCTAAACTACTTGCTTGCCTCCAGTGGGGGTGTATGTGCCTTGGCAAACACATCTTGTTGCATGTACAACACCTCTGGGCAGGTAGAGCTCTGCACTGAACATATTTTAGAGAAGGCTAGTTGGATGCAAGAAATTCACACTAACCTCAGTACTTCAAAATCATATTTTTCATGGGAGTCCTGGCTTCTTTCTATACTGGCTCCTATTCTCATTCCACTACTGATCATATTTCTCTTGTGTTTGTTTGGTCCATGTTTACTAAATATTCTTGCCAGATTCCTTTCTTCTAGGGTTGGAGCCATCAGCTTCCAGATGACTGCTCAGGCTGTATACCAACCCGAGGACTCTAGCCCGCTGAACCTGGCATCAGCCGGGTTTTGAAGTTTGACCCCTCGAATGGGACCCAGAGAGGCAGGGACAGCTCTACGCCCCTTGCCGGCCAGAAGCAGTTTCAGAAGCCAAGACCTTCGCCCCTTTCACCAAAAGAATTTGGGTCTAATTTGTTTGAGGGGGGAATGATGGGGTGTGGCCCAATCCGAGGTCTTCGCCCCTTGCCCCAAAGGGAATCTGATTCCTATTTGTCTACAGGCCCCAGCCCTTATCTCCCTTTGAAAGCCCTAGCCCCACCTTTTTGATTTCATTATCTATTCCCATTGTCTATTCAATCTCTCAGACCTTCCAATCAGAATTCTCACCCATAACCTTTTCCCAGACCCTCCCCTGGTCACCCAAAGTCACTTTAGTATATAAGATCTACCCTGGCCCTCATTCGGGGCTGAGAATCTCAAGCCTAAAAGGCTGAGACTTTCTCATGCCCGCTCGTCCTGCGTTACCTGGTCTATGTGATTTATCACTAATAAACTTATCCTCTGGCTGGGAAAAAAAAAACAAAAAACAATTGCCTTGCTGCTGCTATAATCTCTACCATCATCCCACTCTGACCGTGGCCCCCTACCTTTCCATTCTATGACAAGAAGCAGTAGAATTCAACTCTCCATCTACGCACGCCCTACCTTTCAGAGGATATGGAGGCACAGGAAAGTGAAAGACTGCTGTCTCTGAGGATGCAATGCAGCAGTGTTGTGCTAGACAGAACTAAAGAGCAGAGGGAGCTGGGGCCTGATGCCATCACCTATGGGAGGTTTCTCAAGGCAAGAAAAAAGGGGAACTAAAATCCTGCCAAGGCCAGTTCTGTTCCTCCAGAAGTCACCTGAGTCAGGGACTGCGGCCTATAAAAAGTACGGGAAGAGGCTCAGATAGCTCTGAGGTCTAATCCTCAGGTACCCATTATCAAAGGGGAAAGAATCAGAAAGTAAGCAATAGGGCAATATGTGGAGGGGGAGACTGAAATTACCAAAAATCTCCAGAGTAAGAAAATTCAGTTAAAAACTTTGAGCACAAATAGATAAATTTACTTTGAGGATATTGATAACAAAAGGGAAGATGGCCTTTGGGACATAAAAATGGGTCCAAATATCTCTGAATGAATACTGCAAAACAAAGGAAATGAATCAATACCTGACAAGGCAGAGGAGTCTATAGGATTCCCAAGAGACCATGGAAGCACAAGATGTTCCCAAACGGTTCAAGAGAGAAACAAGAATCATGAAAGAAGAGTTTCTAGCCTGCCAGCAGAAACAATTGGCATAATAGGAAAAACTTGAATCCCTGATGGTTAATATCCCCAAAGAAACAAAAGAAAGAACTGATTGGGAATACAAATACATAAAAATGATGGACAACATGGAAGAAGAAAGTTTCTCTAGAAAGCAGAAAGGAACTGGTAGAGGAAAAAGCCTCAGAAGAAAATGGGCTAAACCTCCCAACACTGTGCCTACAGTTGAATCAGCGTTCTTTGTGGGACTAAACTAAAGGAGGAGAGAGAGCATAAAAGGGAAGAGGGGAAAAAGATGGTAAATAATGAAGGGAAAATAATTCCTGTAGTGTCTCAAAAAGGACTATGAGAGAACAGATAATGTGGAAAGGGAATCGTATTAAAAACAAAAAC